GACAAAAAAATGGGAAAGAGAAAGTTCAAAAGAATGCTAAGCTTTCTTTTTGTGGAGGAAGGGAAGCTTTTCATCAAGAAATCGTCCTTCGAGGAATTCAACCTTGTTTTTTCCGCGACGTATCTCTGGTCTGTTTTGAAATGCAACTAAGGCAGTGAAGTTTTTGCTGAATTTTCAGGTACATTCTGTACCCTATGGCCAAGACAATGACGTTTTTGAAACGGAATTTATGTATTTTTAAATGTTCCATAGTCGTTTTATAAATTTTTCTCTTCGCCGCTAGAGAAAAATTACAAAATGCGCGCGTGAACATGACCCCACGCGAGAAAGGTGAGATGTGGTGGGCAGAGAGGAAAATGAGACTATTTTTTTCTCTGCCCGCTGCGTGTCCCCTTTTCTCGCGTGGGGTGATTTTCATGCGCGCTTGCGTTTCGCTTGCTCTACTATCCCTGAGGGCCTCCCTGAGGACAATAGTCTGCCTGACAGGCGTTAAAAGAGGAAGGGGAAGGGAAAATTAATCCCTTCCCCTTCCCTTTCAAACGCATGCCACGAAGGCTCGAACTATGATCTTGCTAAAAAGCAAATGATTAACGTCACGTAAGAACTAGATGACGCATGCGTATGAAGTGTGCATGAGGTTTGGCGTGAAGCGGAATTGTGATCTTACGATAAAAATGTTGCTTCGTGTGGATAGAGTACCAATTTTGCTTTGGAGAAATGAGTTTTTGCCTGTTTAAATTTCGTAATATTGGTAAGTTGTGACCTCTCACGCGATAACGTTCCGAATGCTAGCCGTTCGAATGCTGAACGGAACGGCAAGCGAACGGGCGACGAACGGTTAGGCAAGCCGTTCGAAATGGATACCGTAAATGGATGAACGGCTAATTAAGATTTTCGAATGGATGAGGTCGAACGGATAAACGGCCTCTTGAAATTTTCGAACGGATGAGGTCGAACGGATAAACAGCTTCTTTAATTTTTCGAACGGATGAGGTCGATCGGATAAACGGCTAATTGAAATTTTCGAACGGATGAGGTCGAACGGTTAAACGGCTTCTTGAATTTTTCGAACGGATGAGGTCGAACGGATAAACGGCTAATTGAAATTTTCGAACGGATGAGGTTGAACGGATAAACGGCAAATCTAAAATTTCCGAACGGATAAGGTCGAAAGGATGACATAATAACAAGTCATGTAGTAACGGTTAACGCAAAGCCCACCAAATCACTCAAATTCCCTATTTAGAGCCGCAGAAACGACAATACACAACAAACGAGGTAGATTTACGTTGATTTTGAACTTTAAAATAGACTTTACTCGATATATAAGTTTACGATATTAAGTTTCTTCAATATTCCTATACGATTCTTTATATTTCGAACATACAAAAGGACACACCGCTTCTGTGGGCGCCTTGTGTTTACATTATTATCAATCGAACGACTTTCGTACCAAATAATTTAATGGTTCACTTGTGATGAGAAATAAACCTCGAAACCTCAAATAAACTAGTACCGCATTGAAAATCAGTCTTTTTAGAGTGAAGGGAATTTCTTTCCTGACAGTAACATCCCTGATCAAGCGTCTGCCGCGCTCATTTCCTTAATTAAACATAATGTCACGCAAACATTTCAACAATGATTTAAAGCAATGATTTTAATACATTTCGCTGCCAGAATGCTTCCGCTGAGTAGGCGACGCTTCTCCTTGTCTTATCTTTCCTCTTCGATATCTCAGTGCGAGTGAAATAATGAATAAACAAACGAGCGCGTGCCAATTTGTCGGCTGCGTTGATTTGCATAATTTTGACACGGCAAGAACAAGTCATAACTTCAATTCTACAACCCGTATTGACACAATCTGTGAAAAGATCACTTGAAACGAGTCGAAACTTGACCGTTTATAATAATGGAAACAGCTCGATAATTTTAACTGTCGTATCCAATAAAAATGCGTTGCCTTGGTTACTGCTAACAACTGCTGTCACTTCGTAGCCATTTCACACAATCACAAAATGGAGAATTCAACGAGGGAAGATATGGATTGCGATCACACCGAAAATATTTCAATTATCGTCCACAAAGTGCAAAGGTTTTTACAAGTTGGGTGCGGATGTCATCAAGGGTTGAAAGGTGGCCAGTGTTCGGATTACTTCACAGTGGAAACTGTTATTGGCAACCTATACGACTGCCTGGAACTGTCTCATGCGGAACTGGACTTAGTAATCGTGGCAAACCTTCAAGCTTTCACGGCGGCTGAAGTAACCGGGGGGAAAAGAAAAAGAATTCCAGCTTACAGCTTTCTCTATCAGTCTCATCCCATTTGCAAAGAAATGTTTCTGCACATGTACTGCATCAGTAAGTCTCGGTTTCAAAGGCTCTTGGAACATTATCAAAACCATGGAATTTCTGTGCGGGTACACGGGAACAGCAAGAGACTTCCACATAACACTCTGCCACAGGCCATTGCAGAAGATGTAAAAAACTTCCTAAGCAATTACGCTGAAGAGAATGCTGTACTACTTCCTGGGAGAATCCCTGGTTTTAAAAACGAGGACATTGTGCTACTTTCGTCGAGTGAGACCAAAATGCATGTCTGGAACTGCGTTAAAAGTGCTTGTGAGGTGGCCAGTAAGAGGGTCGTGAGTTACACGAAATTTATCGAGTTATGGAAACAATTCCATCCAAACCTCGTCGTGGCGAAGCCGATGACTGACTTGTGTTTCACCTGCCAACAGAACACTTCTAAGCTTCTTCGAGCAGCCAATCTTCCAGAGTCAGAAAAGTCAGAATGTGTTCGCACCCAACAGTACCACTTAAATTCAGTGCAGACTGAGAGAGAACTTTACAACAAGGCGTGCGATGATGCTAAACGCAGTTTTAAAGCATTAGGGGACAGCGTAGACATTGATGAGCGCCATGACCCATGCTCACTTGACACCACAATGCACTACTCATTCGACTTTGCCCAACAAGTTCATTATCCGAGTAATCCAATGCAACCGGGGCCAATATACTTTAAAACACCGCGTAAATGTGCCATCTTTGGCATTATGTGCGAGGCGATCCCACAGCAGGTTAACTACCTGATTGACGAGGCCAGCGATGTAGGCAAGGGAGCAAACACTACGATAAGTTACGTGCATCATTTCTTCGAGCATCACGGACTTGGAGAAACTTCCGTTCATCTTCACGCCGATAACTGTTCAGGGCAAAATAAAAACAATTATTTTGTCTGGTACTTAGCTTGGAGGACAATTCTCCAACTCCATCTTTCAGTTAGATATTCTTTTTTTATTGCTGGCCACACGAAGTTTGCCCCTGATCGATGTTGTGGCATCATGAAGAAATTGTACAAGCAAAACTTCATCTCGTCAATTTATGAATTTGCTAACATGGTGGAATCCTCGAGTACTGGGGTCAACAAGGCACAGCTTGTTGGAACACATGACGGAACAGTTATTGTTCCAGTGTATGACTGGTGTTCAGATCTTGAACAGTACTTTAAAAGGCTGCCAAACATCAAAAGCTACCACCACTTTCGATTCACCAAAGATGAGCCTGGTAGAGTTTACTTCAAAGACAGTGACCTGTCTCCCGAACAGTCGCTGATGCTTTTGAAGAATCCCGCAATCCTTCCTCCGGCCGCATGTCTTCCAGCCAAAGTGAATCCAACGGGGTTGAGCCAAGATCGCAAACGGTATCTTTTCCGTGAGATCAGGCAGTTCTGCAAGCCAGGAACAGAAGAACTGGTTGCACCAGCTCCTCAGGAATAAATTCAACAATGGCGACTTCAGTACCCAGCAACGCCTTAAAACAGCTCTTACGAGCCACCATAAAACGGCTCCTTTAGGAGCCACCACATCTATGAAAGTCTTGATCAACAGAACGAAATCACACTTAACAAAAATTAATAGTATTTGATACTCAGTAAAATTTTTGGTGAAAGTTTTTATTCTGAAAGGAGTTGGTCAGATTTGTTTTCGATCTTTTGCGCACGCGTCACGAAATTAAGGAAATTCAGAAACACCGCCATTGTTACAAACTGCAAAGCGGTCAAAAATCAATTCACATTTGGTCCGATCTTTTCTCGATCTTTTACGCGTGCACCGTGAAATTGTAGAGAAAGGAAAGACTGCAATTGTTACAAACTGCAAAGCATCCCAAGTCCTTTCAAAGTAAAATCACTTGGTCAGATATTTTTCCTCGATCTTTTGTGCGCGCGGCAAAATTATTAAGAAGGAAAGACCGCTATTGTTACAAACTGCAAAGTATTCAACAGTCATTTCAAAGTAAAATCACTCGGTCAGAAATTTTTCTCGATCTTTTGCGAGCGCGCGTCACGAAATTATAAAGAAAAGACCACCATTGTTACCAACTGCAAAGCATTTCACAGTCATTTCAAAGTAAAATCACTCAGGCCGATTTTTTTTTCTCGACCTTTCGCGTGTGCGCGTCATGAAAAAGAAGGAAAGACCTCCATTGTTACAAACTAGAAAGCATTCCAAAGTCATAAGCAATACTTTGAAACGGCTTTGGCTGCCATCGTTACAACAAAATGAATTTCGTGTGTAATTATTGCAATTTATTTCACTCACTAAGTACACCGCTTATATTATCAAACAAAGTAAATGCTAAATATTATGATAGAAATACCTAAATCATCAGCTGGACTCACAAAACTATTTTTTGATCAGAAAGCACACATTAAACTTATTATAATGAAAGTGGAGTAGAATCTGGCAACTTTAAAGATTTGCGGGCAACTCGACACTTGGAATTAATTTTTCCTTTGATAACCCTCCAGGCCTTGGCCTTTTCTTCGCTGTTACTGGCTGGAAACTTACTAAAGACTAATATTTTGAGCGAATTTAATTTGCCACTGTCCAAGCCTCTTTTGTCGTGACTGCCATCGGTATTGCTATCTGCTAGTTCCTCTTTAGTAAAGAAGTGTGTCAGCAGTCTCAAGGCACACAGGTGTCGTTTAGCGTCTTGTTGTGCTAGGACGCGGTGTGACACATGTGCTGATCAACTCCTCGCTGACTTCCTGGGGAGCGGCTTCTTGTTTCTTGGTAGTTTGGCTTTCCTCGCGAAGAACATTTAGGGTGTTGTAATCGATAGTGGACAGGTCTTCGTTCCCTCCTTCTGCTTCCGCAGAGCCCTCGGCTGAAGTTTCGCATTCTGGAATAATGGCATTCAGCTGGTAAAATAAAAAAAAGGTTATTCAACAGATTGTCAACAAAACGTATTTCACGGCACATTGCAAGAAATTGAAAACTGGAAAAATGAATTAGTAAAGACTGGCAGTTGTCCCTTGTTAATGAATATAATGCAATTTTGGAGCGTCCAAATCAGGAACATTGTCATTTTTTTCCTACGATTTTCTTCCCAAGTCAAATTGATTTTCTGCGGCCTGTCCCTCCAGTACTTCGAGGCGTCTTTCAAGGTTTGAGACATCGGAACTTGTGATCAGGCGCTCTTCAATTCTTGACACAGAGGCCTGTATGTTCTCAAGGAGCTGTAAAGAGTAAACAATGTTGATTAGAAAAGAATTACAGTACAACCCAAAATTAATGCACGCGCAAGAAGTGGCGCAAGAAGTTCTTACGCCGAAAGATTCCGAAGACTGCGCGTATAAACAAATGAGACCCTACGATGTTGTAAATTTCTTTAAGAACTTTTCGCAGAGTTAGTATTATAGGCGAAAAGCTCTTGCAGACAATATTTTTTGTGTTTCTGAACGGTAATCAAGGAAACTTGAAAGTCGCCTATGGAAGCGAGATTTGTAAATTCGATCCTGTATGGTATGGTCCCGGTATGTTGTGATAAGCACATAAATGATTTTCTGAACCAAGAAATCCCATATATAAGTTTGAATCGTGTATTCCTCTTTATATTTTGAAGAGAATATTTTTGAATGAAATAGCATAGTCCTGTGCTTGTTTTCGCCGACTCAGAATCTTGCTTGTTTTAAAATTTGGTTTACACTTGGAAGCTGCGACGTTCAAACCATGCTTAAATCTACAGACTTCTTTCTAGTACCTGATAGTGTCTTCAGTGAATACATCTAGACAAACATTACCTTAAAAAAGTTATCCTGCATTTCCACTTGGTTCCTAAGGATCTGAGCTTTTGCTGCTTCAGCGTTTTCCAATTTGCTCTTCAGTTCGTAGCATTCCTCTGTTTTGGCGGCAAGCTGCTGGCGCAGAACAGAAACGGTGTCCTCGCGATGGTCTTGTTCATTGCTGCTTGTCGCAGATGTGGACTGTGCCTTGGCCTTCTTGGCGTTCTTGGCCTCACGGTTTGACTTCCACTCCAGCGCTCGCTTCTTTTGCTGGACTAGGAATTCCTCGTAAGCAGAAGATTCAGGTTTATTCGCTGAACTGGGCTGAAACAAAGAAAAATAATCACGTCAATAATGTGTATAATACAGTCAAACCAAGTTAAGCGTACCCCTCAAGATTACATTAATGAATTGATTATTTGAGCCCGTTAGTCGTTTCTAGAATGCAATAATGAAATCACTATATAGAACTCGCCAGTCATTTCAAAAATCATCAGTGTTTGGTGTCTATATCTGTATCGCGTTACATTGTGCACGTGCTCAATCGCTGTTCGTTGCTGTCGAATAGGCCAAGATGGCACGTCAGACGATACCTGGCCGTTTTGGCTTTAAGAAAGCATTTCTCATAGAAATGCTGTGATGGAAACGAAAGTACCCGATTTTTGTTTCAACAAAGTTTTGGTATCGATGTGATCAAACAGCTGAGTCGTTAGCAAATCTAGCTGCATTGATTTTGTTTTAATGAAAGAAGTTATAATGAACTTACCTTTTGGTGGCGTTCCACTCTCTTTTGCGGGCTCTGACTAGCGGGCACAGTGTTCTCTCTCTCGTCAGCGTTCTCTGACTCAGGGCTCACAGCACCAGGGAGGTTCTTTTTAGACCACTCTAAATCCTTCGTGTTCAGGACTGTAATGTCGTCTAAAAGAAAATTGGAATATTGTTAGCACTACATGTATGTGCCAATTAATCCAAGCTAATTGAGTGAATGTCTATTGAAGCGTGTGTTTGGCTCAACGAAACCCCGGACAATAATGAACACGGAACCATGAGATAAAAGATTGGCATTAAATTTTTCCTGCAAATGTCTTACGAGAAAGTCTACTTCTTATTTGCTCTAACAAAACAATACAATTTAAAACTTACCATTCAAAGCTAGAATCTCGCCTTCCATTTTTTTTCCGTTCCAGTTGACGGTTACCACCATTCCCACAACAAGATCAAGCTGTTTGTCAACGATAACTCGAATTGGCGCGATTCCAGTTTTTTCCTTGCCACGGAAGTAAAACAGCGCATTCAATGGGCGCTTGGTGGTCTGTCTGCATAGCTGTCTGATGGACATGATTAATGATAAAAGTACTAACCAGCTGATCGCAACTATCAACTAAGAAGATCACTGTGAAAATTGTTTGCTTCTTCGAGTCCTTTATAGTGTCTAAAGATCGAAAATCTCAAGGTTTAATTGGACAATTGGAAAACAATTGTTTTCAACTTAGCATATGAATGATTCACGCGAGTTTGTGCTTGCATTGAAATGAGCGGTAAATCTCAAACAGGGAGACATTCAGCTAAAGGTATGAAGGCTATGTTTTACAATATTTCGATTTTTAAACACCATTTGGGCTTTTGATATAACACTGACTGATAACGGCTCCCACGCGGCCATGATCGGAATCGAACTAGCTGAGAAACGCAGCAAAATAGACCAGATACTGACCAGGACAAAGAAATAGACAATGATATCAAGGCAAAACAATATATATTTTGAACTACTACATAAATATTTTGACTCACTTGCAGTAAATTTAGTTTTTCACTTCACATACACATTCGGCACTGTTGTTTAAAAATTAATTCCACAAACAATACGTCTGCGCCGCCTGTGAAAACACAAGCTAAACGAAGCGCATGGTGAAACGAAGAGCCAGCCCAAAGGGAATAAAGTGTCACATTTATCTTGTGAGCAATGTTTATCTTGAAATTAATCTCTCTCGCAAGGCAGAAGTGCGTGGCTTCTTAAGCCGCCACGAACATGTAAGGACCGTAAGGTTTTCAATTTAATAGGAGCTTGTGAATAAAACGTTTTTCCGTAAAAAATGAAGTGAGTATCATTTAAGCGGAGGTAAACAAAGAACAGAAGCGTGACGACTGTTTGTGTAATGTAAACATGACGGCATGCGTCATTTAACAAAGAATGGCGAATTTATTGTTTTGAAATCGTCTCGTCTTGTCTTCTTGGAACGGCTGCCAAAATAACTTACTGTTTCTGTCTTGAACGGATAGCTCGAGCCGTTCGAACGAATATTTTCTCAAACGGATAGCTCTAGCCGTTCAAACGGCTGATGAATTTTCTCGAACGGATAGCTCGAGCTGTTCGAACGGATAGCTCTAGCCGTTCAAACGGCCGATGAATTTTCTCGAACGGATAGCTCGAGCCGTTCGAACGGCTGATAAATTTTCTCGAACAGATAGCTCTAGCCGTTCAAACGGCTGATGAATTTTTTCGAACGGCTGATGAGTTTTGTCGAACGCATAGCTCGAACCGTTCGAATTTTTTAGAACGGTTAGCTCGAGGCGTTCGAACGGCATGCCAGTCCGTTCGAACGGCTGGTGAACGGCTATCCGTGTAAAAACGGCTAAGCGTTCGGAACGTTTTTGCCTGAGAGGTCACAGTTTGGAGATTATTTAGTAGATAATGTACTGAAAATAGAGAAAGTAAGGTTAGTGAGGACTCGCTTTGCTCCAAAAGGGTACGTTTTTCAGGCTTCAGGTATATTAAAGGGTAGGAATTTTACTTTTGAAGTTTGTGAACGCTTAGGGAAATCTGTCATACGTTGAACAGATGAATTTTAAAGTTTTATAAAGTTGGGAAAACGTTCTATTTTTTTGGGATTGGTTCGTATTTAAATGACAGTGCATTTACAGCAGTCAAAAGGGATGCAAAGTTCTAAACAAGGTATGTGAAAGGGGTACCATTTGTCAATGGAAGGTATACATTAAAGGGGTACTTTTTTGGTGTAAAAATGGTATCTGTAAGGGTTTGGAGCTAGGGACAGAGTCTCCGCTATGTAAATTTGTTGTGTGACCCCCCCATCCCTGTGGTGGGCATTTGAATGAGGGTACGCCAAAGTAAACGTTCCAAGATACAGGAAAAAAACTAAAGCTTGTGCAAAATAGTAAAATTAAGAAAACAACAGTACAGTTGATAGCCAAAGTTAGTTGTAGGAGGGGGTTGAATAGGGGTATGGAAATTGGCCAATCCGTTATGAGTTATTAACCAAATTGACCGCTAAAATTTCATCCTGAATCTGAAATTTGGGCAAAAATATTTTAAACCTAAAGTCTAAAATCTGGGCCCTAAAAATGGATGCAGCCACAATTTGCTGGAATTGCAGGATCTGGAAATCCATTAAAATCTTGCTTTAAATGTGAAATTTTCAAAATCCGCCAGTCTGTTCACTAATTCACCCCCTTCTTGTCAACAAATTAAGGGGTCAAGTACTGCTTTTAACACTTGGACACCTATGGTGCAATGACTGATATTTTGGCAGTGCAAAACAATCAATACAACTGATCAGCCCTTGAGTGAAACTTTAATTCATGCAACTTAACATTAGATAGACATTTGTTTTTAATTTCCGATCAGTATTATGCTTGTTTCAGCTGATAATGGCTGTTCTAACACAAAAGAAGGGGTAGTAGCCTGGCAGCATACAGATGCACCCATTCAATTGAAACTATAGCCCGTCAACCCCCTGGGCGCAGTTGTTCGAATGCCGGTTAGCGCTAACCTGGGGTTAGATTTCAACCCGGGTTTCTTTTTCTTTTTATCAAAAGCACTGTCTGAGATAATTTTCTCTAGTTCTTTAGCATATCCAGTCATGAAATTGTAGGCAAAGAGAATTGAACTGAATTGGCTTTTTTAAGCTGTTATATCTGAGTTTGAAATTTGCACTAACTCTGGGTTATCTTAACCCAGCTTTGAACAACCCGGTCCAGGACTTTGCAGGGAATGTAAAATGTCTACACTGTTGCATTCGATTTTTCCCCCACCCCTTGGGGAAAACTTCACTGTTACGATCCCCATCGCTATTGCCCTATTGTGTATCTTGAAGATGTTCATAAGGTGGTTTTCATAGTAATTAATATTATTTCCTATTGGTGAAAAAATGGTAAAATCAGTAATGGAATTGCTTGGTTAATTTGCAGCACACAGAATAAGCAAAAGCAGGCAGAAAATTGTTGATGACACACATGTAATGGGAAAATTACTGAAATTATGAGGAACGCAGACCCCAAATGTTTATAGGTGACTCAATTTGCTACCGAACGATAACAAATTTTGAAACTACAATAAATAATAGTTGCTCTGAAGAAATTTTATCTCCACCCTCTTTTATTGCTCAGTAAATGAATAATGACGTCCAAAATTATTTTGCTTGTATCGATTTGTTTCAAACTATCAATCTACCAAAAATACGCCAAATCTATTTGCAGCTGTATTACAGAGAATGTTAGATTTGCTGAAGTGATAGTGGCATTAAGCAATTGCAACAGTTACGCTTGTTTGCGTGTTTTAACTCTCTTCACTAAGTAACACTGATGTTGGTAGGAATAATAAAAAGAAACTTGTGGTCATGCGATAATAGTTAACTTCTTGTGTAATGCACTTCTTAACAGAATGATATTTAAAAAGATCCATGGCCAAATGAAAAACAATTCTGTTCAAGGATACATGGTGCAGTAAACAGAAATGATTGGAACAATGTTGCAATGTCAAAAAGTACATTTTTGATGTTTCAGTGGATTCCTACTTTGTCATGGGTGGTATTACAGGTGTGGCAAAAATCTCCAGAAATTGCCCCAATCGTTAGTGCTCCTGTTGTCCATGCGAAATTCACGTTTACAAAATTTCTAGACTATGTCACTGTTTCTCTCTGCTACAGGGCTCGAAATATTAGCGGAGCTCTCGCGCGCGAAGCGCGCAGCGGAGCACCATGGGTAACAAAATGTGGTAAACTACCCATCCGAGAAAATTTGGTAATCACGTGACCGTACACCGACCGCCCGCCCGACCGTCCGTCCGCACCACAGGCATACCAATGTTTACTCTCACACTTTCTAGCTACTTTGGGAGCCCAGGAGAAAGCTGATTGCACATCAATGGGCATCAACGTCGTCATCAATTGACAGCTGTCAAAACAGGGTATCCGCTGACCAGTATCACCTGACCGTATCGCGGGCTCAGGTGTCGACCCATCAAGGTCGAGTATTTTTTTGAAGTTATCCGCTGAAAATTTACTCGTTTTGAAATGATCGCAGGCTCACGCTTACTTTTTTTAATTTTTAATTCACATCAAATATGTTGTGTTTATGTCAGTATCGCCCAGCACTATAACGATTTTGATTTCAAACTGACCGCAGACGCAAAAATTCAGCCAGTTTTTTTAAAATACAGGCGGGGAAGACCTTTTCTAACCATGGTCATGTGTTGGTCACGCTCCACGTCCAATTTTTATGCTCTGATTGGTTAAAATTTGACAGGTGAGTTCATGCGTAAAATTTATGCAGCATCTTGAAAGTTGTTTACTTTGACAGCTGAAGCTGACAGAGTTTTGAGTCAACTTGTGATGTTTTTAACTGTCTTTTTCCACTGGATGTAAAAAATGAAATACAGCTGCTATCAAGAGTGTTCTCTTATTCATGGCTGGTTTGCTTATTGGGTTTTTGGTTGAGAATGCGTCGCTTGTCAAAGCCGATAATCCGATTTCGGTTGGCATCGTTTTTGTTTTTCACCTTGCTGGATGCGTACGAGAATTATAAAGGCTCAAGCGATCCTTGCCTTTCTTGCTAGCTTTCAGGAGCTGCATCTCAAAATATGGTAAGCCTGAGTAATTATTGTATTTATATCTAATTTCATGAAGTCCAGTGGCACAGTTTATGAAGCTAGTTTATGCACGTTTGTATTAAGATTTGACTGAGACACTGATCTGACCTAGTATGAGGTTTGATATAAGCTTAAGCTTACAGAACTTTAAAAAGCCTTTAGTCGATATTAATTCACCGTAAATAGAACGAAAAAATTTCCGAAGAATATTTAGTTATAATTTTGGCTGTACTTGGCTGTAGAAAGAAAGCTTTGAGCGATTTTCTTGTCGTGAGTTCATCTTTGAAAAAAGGAAACACCGGGAAACCGGCGGCTTAAAACATAACCTTAATCTTTAAGCTTACTAGTGAAGACTTGAGGATTCTTAGAGACACCTAAATACTCATTTGTTTTCGTGAATGAAAATTGTTGTCTCTGTAAATGTTCTACCGAATTATATTTCTTTATTGATTGTC